TTCATATATTTTGTTAGCATGTAACATTATTATTATTATTATTATTATTATTATTATTATTATTATTATTATAATTATTGTATTGTATCGTATTTCATCGTATTGTATTGTATAGTATATGTATGTTTTTATGTTTGGGGTTGCTTGTTTACAAGTTTTTAACTTATTTTAGCAATCCCGGTATTTATAATGATTTCATTTGTAATGATTTCATTTTGATGTTTTTAATCTTTTGCCGAATAAATGTGAATTTGAATTTGAAATTGTTTGTCAAAGAAATGTGTATGTTTAGATACAAGATTTAAGTCCAGCATTTATGCAAGTTTTTGTTATGGTATAAAATTGTTCATTACAAGTTAAATGCTCCTTGCATAAATATGGCAGCACAACTAATGTTTGATAATGTCCCTCAGTTGGACTCAGGGTATAAATTTGAAGATTGGACTGAGGTTCTTGAGTCATGGTTTATAGCTAATGATATCACAGCAGATGAAAAGAAGAAGGGTATATTCTTGTCAGGATTAGGAAGTATACACATGATGCACAGGTTTGAATGCGTCGGTAGGGATTGTGTGCACAAGGTACCTTTGAATGGTTTTAGACCAAATTTAAAGGTACCACGTGCACACAATTCCACCAACCCACGAATTAAATCTGTGCATCATCTGTTTTATAACATGGGGCTCTCAACATTGTCAAAAATACAACATTTTGTTATTTTACCTTTTACCGGATGCATGGCAAATTCATGCTTTCCGGTAGTACCGGACGCATGATTTTGCATAATTTGTCTGTTCTTAGTGCAATGGATTAAAACAAATGTAGAATGACTAAGGCCTAAACCTTAACAAAATAAAGTCGGGCCTCACTGACCTTAACATGAAACCTTAACAAAAGAAAGTTATTAAATCAATAAAACCTTATTTTGCAAGCTTTTTTGAGTTTTGGGAATGTGCAGTCTAAATTAGAAGAGGTCTGGATCTTGTCCAAATCAATTACAGATATTGAGACTGTCCATCATCCTTGGTCTAAAGAAATTTCATAGATACTTACATGAAAGGAAATTCACTATAGTCACAGATCACAAGCCCTTACTTGGCTAATTTGGAGACAAGCCAGCAAGCCCGATGGCCTCAGCAAGACTGTCGAGATCTGACACATGATCATGTCAACGTATGATTACACCCAGGCGCGTACGCAGGGGGTGGTTTTGGGGTTAAACCCCCCTCGAGTTTTTTTTATGTGTATGTTTTATGTATGTTTTTTTGGAAAACCCCCCCTTTTGATTTTAAAACCCCCCCTTGAAAAAAATCCTGCGTACGCCACTGATTACACCATTGTATACAAGGAAGGCAAGAGACACCAGAATGCCGATGGATTGTCCAGATTACTAATGCCTTCAACTGATGGAAGTAAATGGCCAAATGAGGACTTAGCAGAATTGAGTGATCTGCAGCCAGGAAGAGTCAACGTGTTGTTTGACATAGACTCTCGACCAGTTGATGCGAGTGAAGTGAAACAAAAAACTGACAAGGACCCAATATTGCAAAAGGTCAAACATAACGTTATGCAAGGATGTCAAACATAACGTTATGCAAGGATGTCAAACATAACGTTATGCAAGGATGGCCAAGTTCCAGGAATTTAGATGATGAAGTTCGCCCATTTGCTCGGAAGAAAACAGAGTTGACTATAGAAGATGATGTTCTTCTATGGGGACAAAGAGTTGTCATACCCCAGGATCCTGATATGCGTACCAGGATAGTAGATGAGCTTCACGCTACACATCCAGACATAGTCAAGATGAAAGCCCTAGCTCGATCTTTTGTTTGGTGGCCCGGAATAGACAGATGCTTAGAGCAGAAGGTTCGTACGTGTTTAGTGTGCCAGGAACATCAGAACAACCCTCAAGCAGCTCCTATTCATCCTTGGGAGTTCCCAGAGAGACCGTGGATGAGAATACACATCGATTACCCCTCAATTGAGAACCAAGATGTTCTGATAGTCGTAGATGCACATTGCAAATGGATATAAGCTGTTAGAGTTCCTAATGCAACCGCTTCTGCCACAGTAACTGCTATGAGACGCCTATTTGCTACACATGGGATTCCGGAAACGTTGGTTAGTGACAATGGAATTCAAGTCATCTCAGAAGAATTTACCAAATTTCTCACTGACAACAACATAGAACATATGTGCAAACTGCCCTCACCACCCATCAAGTAATGGCTTAGCAGAGAGAGATGTTCAGATAGTAAAGAGGTGTTAAGAAAACAAGTGGAAATAATTTGGAGATGCGAGAATCCAAAAATTCTTAATGACACACTGGATCACAACCCATGAAACCACCGGTACATGCCCAAGTATATTTGTAAAGCGCTATATAAAAATTAAATATTATTATTATTAAGTGAACTTCTGTACAAGAGAAGGATTGGGAGCAGATTAGATCAAGTCCGTCCAGAATTGACGAAGACTGTGAAACGAAAACAATCTGCCATGAGTCAGAGGTGAGACAAAAGGACCAAGATATACGTTAAAACATTCAAGACCATGTACTAGTAAAGAACTACACTTCCGGTCAAACATGGTTATATGGTCAAGTACCCGAGTTACTCAGTGAGTCAATGTATATTGTAAAATCATATCAGAGGTTACATTCCTGCTCAGCAAGTTGAAACTCCATCTCATGAACTTAATCCGGTTGAAGATGTTCCAAGGCCAAGCATTCAACACATTCCGGATAATGGAGTTCCTTCTGAGAATGTAATACCTTCCCCAGTTGAAACCTTGTCAGGCCCTAGACAAGAGTCGCATGAAAGTCATGATGTTACCCCTACAGTTTCAATCCCTAAAAGTGACACACAAGAAACTGCAAGAAGAGTTTCACAAAGAAACACAAAAAACACCTGCAAAATATGATGATTTTATTATTTATCAGTAGGTTAAAAGCACATTCCAGAAAAGCAATTCAGTTTTGGATTATATATTACTTTCACAGTTGTAACTCACATAATTTTATTAATGTTTATAATGCGTATACTATCAGAAATATGGTAAAACATAACAGACAGTCATCCGGTATAGAAGTGACTGATACAAAATAGGATGGTACAAATCTATTTCGTCCAAGAAATATTTTGCAAGATAGTTGTATTTATGCCAAGTGAAACTATTGTAGATCAAACTTTATTTTTGTGTGTGGGTTAAACATGTTTTCATACTTCGGTATTGCATTAGTCTGCAAAAGTGCAACAGGTATTGTTTATGTGTTACATAATTCAGGCAATGATCAAAAGGAAAAAAAAAAGTTTTTCCTTAGCGATGAAAGCTAATTTGGTGCATTCATCACAGGTGTTGATGTTTTAAAAAGTAACAGTATAAATTGTTCAACATTTTATCCGAAATACTACATGTATTTTCATGGAGAAAATGTCACTTATTTTGGTCTGTTCATTATTATGTCAGGAGAAGTTAGTTGATAAAGTTTGGATCCAATCAGTTTTTGTATTAAAGTACAAGGATTTTATTTAATTGTTTTGCCATGTAAAGTTATCATGCATAAAGTAATGCTGTTGACTACTTTCAAGGAGGAAAATTGTTGTTCCTTAGGTGTCAAACAACCTTCAAGTAAAACTTAGATTAGTTAATATAGGTTGATATACCAGTGGAAATTTTGTGTTGTGGTACTTACATGCATCAAAGCAATGTTGCTAGTTTATGTTATACATGGGATAGGATTTTTTGTAATAGAATCAAGTTGTGCGAGTACATTCCTGACATGCTAATGTCACATCTCTATGCAAACACTTTTTGAGAAAATTAGACCATATTGTTATATAGTCCTGCCCTAGTCTGCATGCCAGTTTGATACATGTATTTCGTTTTGATGTACCCATGTAATTCACTAAAAGGGGAAGGAATGTATGTATGACTTCTGAAAATAAGACTATGCATGTCTTGACTTGTCAGTTTATGTATACGCACGCATTGTACAGCGCGCAGTTTCCTTCGATGCCTTTATCGAATAAAGTCCATGCTACAACCATTTAGTGTAAAAGTTACGAATAAGTCTTTATTTGTCATAATATGGTCAAAGCAATTGCCTCCCATCCTGGCGACCCATATTTGATTCCCGGTAGTAATTTTTTTTGTTTTTTTGCTTTCGTTTTATATTTAATCTTATCGTTGATACTAAGCTGAAACTTGACATAAAGGTAAAACATGACGGGTGGAGCATTTAATGAAATAAGATGAAATTGTGAAAATGCATTCTTCATTATGTTGATAAGGGTCAAAAGTGTATCTGCTTATTGTACAGGGTCAATGATCATATTGTCTCTCTATCTATCTTCCATATAGATCCATAATGATCAATGCTACACATGCAGTTGAAACTTGACATATGGATAGAACTTAATGATAGGAGCATTCTATAAGATATGTAATCTTAAAGATGAATTCTTCAATATGTTTATTTGAGGAAACGTATCACCTAATTCGTCTAAGTGACGAATTAAAGTCTAGTTTCATATTGGGTCATTGAAATGATTGTGGTTGTGAAACAAAACAAAAAAGGGATTAAGCAGATGGAGGATAGATTCTTGCAGAGATGTAAACTTGATTTACTTTCATATCATTTGGTGTACATGTCAAGACAACTTCAACTTAGGGATTATGTTACGTTATGTATTTCTTTGTATTTTAGCTTTGGCTTTTTGGGTCGCAAAATTTGAAAATTTGGCCGATCGATATTTCGTCTCTTTGGGGGGGGGGGGGGAGGAGGGTTAAGATCAGCTTTTCGGGTCACCTATTACCACAATTATTTTTTTTAATAAAAAAAATTTAATTAATTACAAAAAAACAAAAGGGGGGAGGGAGGTTTTCCTCCAAAACATACACATACAAAAGTTAAAGGTGGGGGGGGGGGGGGGGTTAAACCCCCAAATCCCCCCCCCCCTGCGTACGCGCCTGCATCTTACAATACAAATCACACCTACCCTGTGGCCTCTCACAGATGTATGGTCTTTGACCCGGACACGGGATATCATTCCACTTCCCATGATATTCAACGGAAGGGTGCGTGTACATGCAGGCGCAGTCTTCTATCCCAAGGGAATCGTTTGGTTCTGATGGAGCCCATGAAGACTCAGTTCTTCTATTATACCAAATGGTTGATTTGGAAACAATGAATATAAAAGATAATCATCGTTCAGTATCACAAGGCATTTCTTTCAACACATTTATCTCAATGGCAATATATTTTATACTGATTGCACAAAGTATCTGTAGAAGAACCATGCCATGAGGAAATGCATGAGAAATCTGACAGTAAGCCCAATTATTGTACCCCGGTATTGTACTCACTAATCCTTAAAGTGAAACCAAAAAAAAAAAAATTTCGATGAAGCTATAATTGCATGTAATATGACTATGAAATATGTGTTTGTCATTAATAAAAAAGAAAAAGAAAAAAGAAGTAGAAATTCGATAGAAAATAAGAAGAACAATTTGAAATCACCTTTCCAGAGTGTCATCTAGCCATACAAAATTGCCACCGTTTTCTCGTCTAAGTCCAAACAAATAGCAAGCGCTTGATGGGTTCGAAGTTGATATGATTTCTGCCAGGAAACTCTTGACAAGATACCGTGGGGAAAGAGGACAAAACAATGATAAACGGAGGGAACAAAGATTCTTTTTTCCCCTCTCGTCTGAAAATAATATCCTTAACGTTGTCAAAAGTCAGTAGGCCTACTTACGACATAGTTTGCCATTAATGGAAAGTTCCTGTTGAAAGAAGCGTTTTCACGAATAACATTTATATGACATCATCAAATGATATGCAACCAGGCGCGTACGCAGGGGGGGGGGGGGGGGTTAAACACCCCCTTTGTTGTTTTTATGTGTGTATTTTTTAACAAAAAAAAATTATGGCAATGGCTGACCTAAAAAAAGTGACCTAACCCCCCCCCCCCCCTACAGAGCAAAATATCAAATGTTCAAATTTCGAGACCAAAAAAAAAAAAGAAAAAATGTCCTCTTACCACCCCCACCCAACCCCCCTCCCTCCCCCGCTTATTCAGCGGCTGGCTGAGTCTTTGCGAAATTTTAGGCCCGATTTCAAAATGTTAACCCCCCCCCCCCCTGCGTAAATCCTGCGTACGCCACTTTATGCAACAATATGAACATGTTTTTGATATACGTTTTTCAAATGTAGGCTTAAAGCTTATAGCTCCAGTTTAAAAAACTATTATAAGCCGGGTTATATTATCATATTATGGTTTATATAACCTATGGCTAAAGAGAGTTCCCCAGTGCCGTGACCTGTTAAAATGATTATGTATGCTCCTTTTCAATGAAAATAAAATTGAATGATATAACTCATACAGGTGAAAGCGTAGGGTTATTTTCTCTTACATTAATTTCCTCTGATTTGATTATGGCCAGGTCACCGCCATTGCTCATGCAGTTTGCTCTTGCATCTTCAAAGGATCGTGCTTCTCCGTAGAACCGATATGACGATTGGCCGAAACGATGCCACGAAAAACGAGAATCTGGCGATGTAAATATGACACAGGTATAATTCAATTTTCTCATTTAAAAATAAAATAAAATATTACTTTGTATTATTGGGCTGTTTGTTAGGTTATACGTACGGTACGTATACGTATCACCTTTTGAATTCAAGATTTGTATTATTATTAGGTTATCATGACGTCATCCAAGCGCCAATTTGTGAAAATCAAATGAGAACGCATTTATGATGATATATAAATGCGTTCATAACTTAGCACCTTCTTACCTTCAGGTAGGCTTAATCAATCCTAATGATGTACATGAGCATCATACAAGGCAAATAGACAGTGGATGTTTACGTGTGCCTAGATTTCACACTAATTGTTATAAGTGTAGCCCAATTGTTTCTTCCATATTTGAATGGAATAAGCTAGATAATTCATTGAGAACGGCTTCCTCTGTCAATTCATTTAAGAGATTGTTTAAACAAAGTTGTAATTTGTGAATGGCTCAGCCGTACATACCTTACGTGCATGTTCTGTAATATTTACATGACTTATTCACATAATTGCGACTTAATTAATATTTTCCTATTGACATTACTGTTTACTAGGTTGATGATTATATTTATTTTGCAAACGAGTTTTATTTTTGTAACTGTTCTGTATAAATGTTATAAACGATGTAAATATGTTCATTCAGGGCCCCATGGAAGACCACTACTTGTTGGTGAATGGGCTACCCTGTCAAAATATTAGAAATAAATAAAAATAAATAAATACAATTATATCTTCATAACGGAAGGGCATTTCTCATTCATATTTATCATGATCAAAGTCGATATCCGTCCGGTCAATTTCCGATAAAAAAACGCGAGCGTATGGCCCACGTCCATGTGTAAACGCACGCGAAAAAAATTAAATGTCGTCTCAAATTCATTTTTACGATTAAGGTCATTTTGAGCATATTTCAAAAGATCTCGTACACGCACATGCGCGCGCGTTTTCGTTCGTCATGTCTGTACACATCATAGAATCGACATTCCTTTTTCTTTCATTATATTTTCCATACTTTTCCGAACAATTTATACCATGTTTTTATCTTTATGACCATTAATAACGAAATGAGTGTCCGTTCAAGATAAATGTCCGTCTGCGCGAGCTCTTATAATACATATCATATATGGTCAAAAAATGCCTATAAAAAGTCCATTATAGCTCTTTGGTATGCTTGGGGACCGTCATTTTGAGTCGGAGATATGATGTCACGTCTCATTTTATCGTGGCATTATCATAATAGCCCTGGCACTCCATATACGAATTTGCATTATTATGACGTCAGCATATTTATGGGAAATTGAGTATACATGTATCTCTCTATATAGATGATTATCGTTTTACACTCAATTTGTAATATGTTGTAGCTAAGAACATTTTCTACAAATTCAACAGCCATCATTTATAATTTTGATGACGTCATCATAGTGAAAATTGCGATTAAATATTACATGTCAATATTATATTAATTACGTGTTATGCCTATGGAAGGTGAATTTCGTTAACATCATGAATCTACATGACATTGTCCTTTGAGCAGTATCTCGCTTATTCTTGCTCTTACTGGTTTCTCCAGAATTGTGGTATGTTATAGCTGAGACTACGGGTTATAGATACATGTTTTTTTTTTTATCTTGTTCAGATGTTATCATTATGTCGAAATTTAAAATTGAAAGTTGAATTACAAACTCTGTAGAACTTTGCAGAAATTATGAATATGTCACGTATGTCCCATCTGTGAAATTTAAACGTCAGCAGTGTCCTAGTATGCCTATTCAAATCATACAAGGAAACCCGTTTACTTTCTAGACTTTACTGTATATACTGTCAGACACTATTGAGTAAATTAATGACCTCTTTTTTTCTGGTAATAAATATACATAAATAAAATGAGCTTCAAAGGGAAGCCTTTACAGTCATGTACATGCGCATTTGTCTACATCAACCCATATCTTGTAATGGCCTAAAATGAACTGATTGAATCTCTACGCAGCACAATACAGTGCGTCCCAGAAAAAACGAAACCGAGAATTATTGATGTTTTATCTTAACTTAATCACAATAATAATTGATAAATGACACATATTTGGAAAGCTTAGATAATCGTCTTTCATTTGATGCAACCATGTACGACCATGCATTATGGCTCAAGGCATGGGCACACAGATTTTTTTCTGTTGGGGACCGAGAGGAAATTCAATGAATTATTGAAAATTTATTGCATTTTATTATTATAATTTTTTTTAAATTGTGGTAACTGCCCCCTACCCTAGCCCCGGCTGCGTACATTCATGGTTCAGTGGCCAAGCAATGGCCTCGAAACTGTGAGGCCCCATGATCAAAACCGTGTCGATATGCAATATTAGTGCCTTTTGTGGGGCATTAATCCCCATTACTGTCATTTATGACTTAAGGGCGTAGGTCCCAAAGTTGATAAGCATAGTAGCATACACATGCTTTAGCAGTCACGCAAAACAAACACTGGCAAATTATCATTCAATAAAATCTGAGAATGTATACTATTGTTTAGATCTATTAGGAATAAATCAGTGTCAAAATAATTCCATAAATTGGGGTAAAAAAAATATTCCAACTATATGAGCGATAGTGTAGATGTGAATGTTGTAATGACTAACAACCTTCTTTTATTATTCTTATTTGTTCATCGTCTCCAGACTCTATAATGCCATTAGAAAAATATTTGAGTCACAATGTAGAGTCACACTCACAGTGCAGATAAATTATTTTCAGTACCAGGTCTAATAATTTAAAGAAAACTGAATTTAAACCTGGGCTATTCTTTCTCTCTCTTTTGTCATTGCCTTCCTTTTCTCCCTTTTACTTCCTTTTCACCCCGGAGTATGATACAAACATTGAGAATATAATCACTTAAAAGGGTAAGCTTTAAGACAATAATTTATGACATGTTCTCTATTGTCATGATTGAGACAGAGCCTAGAGCTAACTAGCTCACTGGAGTGATTGCCTCGTCGAGATTAGTGATTTTTTCAAAAACACTAACTCGCACTAAATCTTGAAAAAATTGTGTCAAAGGGGATTTTAACACGATCGCAAAGAATTTTAAGAAATCAATTTAAAATGGCAATTGCAATAACCTATTACAGGGCTCCTCTTATTCTGGACCGCCCAGGAGGCTCTGTTTTTCAAAATCCTAAAAGGGTAGGGAGTAGAATCCACCCGGTCCCCTATCTTTTGATATCAACATTTGCATCAATGCCTTCGTCTTCCATTAGTCTATTTGCGCCAACGTTTACTGGTTAAAGCAGCTTATTGCCGGGAAACAGAGCCCCCTTTCCCACTGATAAACCTGCATACCAGAACTTCAGCTGTTGACTGTCTTATCTCTCGAAATTAAGGTGCGTGTATAAAAGCACGTATGTATAATATCAGATACATAATTTAAATCATTGATTAATTCAAACTAAATTTGCCCATTGTTTCAGACCTTTTAGCTTCCACGGAAATCACATCTGGTCTGTCAAGGAAAAAGTTTAAGAACCCCTACTCTACATGCATACGAGAACTTCCACTTTTGACTGTATTATCTCTTGAAATTAAGGTACGTGTAAAAGACACCTATGTTTAACATCACATACATCGTAAAAATCATAGATTAGGTCAAACTAAATTTGCCCATTGTTTCAGACCTTTTAGCTTCCACGGAAATCACATCTGGTCTGTCAAGGAAAAAGTTTGAGAACCCCTGCCTTACATGCATACCAGAATTTCCACTTTTGAAGTTGATATAACTCTTGAAACTAAGGTATGTGTAAAAAGACACGTATGTAAAATATAACATACATAATGTAAGAAGTTGATTAAGTAAACTAAATTTGCCCATTAATTCGGACCTCTTAGCTTTGATGGAAATCACATTTGGACTGCAAAGCAAACAAAATTGAGAACCACTGCACAAAAATCATGTCCGATTCACCCAATTCATCATTTCAAAAGTTCGAATATTTCAAAAGGTAGCGGACAATGCTAATGAAATACCATAAGGTTTTGCGATCGTGATTTTTTAAATTTTAAATGTTTCAACTCATGACCGAAATGTAAAACATTTTTTGAATTTGAATTTGCATCTGAAGTGAATTTAAGTTTTCATTTTAATATGAGTTTTGGTTTAAGTTTGAACTTGGAATATGAATTAAAATTTAAATCTAGATTATTTCACCTGTAAGATATCAATGGATAAGTAGGAAAAATACCATCAGTAGTAAATCATAATACAACTATAATACAAGCGAGGCAGTCATACAGGTTTTTACACATTTCATATTTCTCACAAGTTTGGATGATTATTATTTTGCATACTTTAATTTTAACGGACTAATATTTAAACAAAAAATGTGCAAGCCTGATACGTGATGCATCAACAATTGACAAACCAACATAATTTCTTACCTTGTACAGACGGAGCACTTTGTACAAGAAGATAAAAAAGAAAGGATAACACAAACCCTTTCAGATCGGCCATCCTTCAAACAGGACACCGGAATGGGTATGGGCATATAAACCTGACTGAATAATAACGACTTTAGTTTACTGCTGAACGTGGCACCCGTCTGCTGCCGACGAAAATGGTTCAATGAAGAAAGGAGGAAGTAGTTATGGCACTAAATTGCCTCTCCCATCAAGATGTTAAAAATAGCTATGACGCAAATACTTGAAATGTATGCTCGTATGTTGATTGAGACAGATTATTATGTATTATTACCCGTATCAGACATCTGAGCGGTGGTTTAACAAAATCATCATATGGCTCCGAATAGTCTCATTGGACAACACCCCTATCGTCAGAGTCCAGCAGTCTAACATGTTAGCCTATGGACTTTTAACAACAAACAAAATCGTTAAAAGCACATCCACCCCGACGTACGTTGACACTAGCTCTTTCATTGGAACCCTCATGTCCTATTGACTTTCGAAAGTTCACTCACCGTAATTTGATCAAAATAGGTCGCCAGCTCGTCATTGCCTATATAACACATGTGCAACGAGTCGAAGTTTGGACGCAATTTGCAACGCGATTGTAAGGTTATAGGTCAAGCACACGAAGGATAACAAGTACGAATTATCATAGATCAGTTCTGATCGGCTCATTATGTCCATTTAAGCCAACCCCCCACCGTATTTTTTTCCATTTAGTAAAGGCAAACATTTTGCCAAGTCAAGCCAAACATGAATATTCATGACACGCCATGGACTATTCGATTATTTACAGAGGGGTGCAATTGTGCACCACATCAAACTCCCCTACTTTCCGTCAAATAGTTCATTGTATTATGTAGTTCGGTAGGTTTATTTTACTAACTGTTTAATTATCAGATATCAATGATAGTTTAAAGATATGGAAATATCTAGGCGTCGTGGCGTGCGCCTGTAATCCAGCTAACAGTGGAAGTTACCAACTGATTCAGCCGAGGACGCAAGTTCGAAACTGAGTCACGTCTTTCGGATGTTGACGTTAAAAGTCGGTCCCCAGATGTAAATAATCATATCTAATTGATACACATTTGTAAAAACCCAAATACACACACACACACACACATACAATTGTATTTATGTTAAGCAAAGCAATCTCACTTGTTGACACACTCACAATTATCACACCACACACACGAACACTCTCACTTCCCCTCCCCAGCACACCATTTCCGCACACTCGGTTCACACGGTTCACACAGTTTACACATCATACCCAATGGCCCTGAAACATAGTGGAACATTCTAGTTTGGTACGACGTCGAACTAGCTACGTTTGTGCGGGCAATTGGTCCAGCGAAAATGAGACAACCGGAGCAATATGATTGGCTACTCGTGAACTCATGTTGGCAAATACATAAATGAACTCATGAACTCATGAACTCATGTTGGCTACAGCGAACTTTCTAAAGCTGGTTTTCTTGAAGTCGAATAAAGATCAAAACAACTCGTCGTCGCGGTTGAAATCGAATCTAAAGTCATGAAATTGAAAATAATAATTCTTTATGTTGTATAGCCCCCTCTCAAGGTCAAAATATAAATTAAGATATTAAAAAAATATTTCTTGACTAAAATCGACCGATTTTAGTCATTCACATCTGGAAATTATACCTCACAACTACATATTCAAACGGACGTAGGCGCTATTTGAAATTTATCAACATTTACCGGGAGCACCGATTAATATTTATATTCAATTTTTCTCGAAAGCAGAAGTGTTTTAGGGGCTAAATTTTCTAGTGCTAATAATACATCCACAGGGGCATCCAAATATATCAAAATTGTAAAGAATCACTATCCACCCAATTTTCAAAATTTCCCAAAATTTTGCATTACCTTTAAGTATGATATCAATTGCATATTCTCCAAATATATCTGTTAAACACACAAACAAATAAAAGTGCTTAGATGCCTCGTCCATAAACTGTACTATTTTTGGGGTTCTTCTACGTTTCATTTTCTTTCTTATTTTCTTTAATTTTAACTTGTAGGATCCAATAGCTCTCGCGAAGCAAGGAATTAAATCTGTGACAAGTTTCTGGCGTTAAACAGGTTCAAACATCGTCAAATTTATCACCATTTCATCGTAGCAAGCGACACAGAGAATATTTAATTCGTGTTCGATTCTTGCGCAGACGTTATCGTAAAAGGTTCTCTCGAATCCATCGGGATGTTGTAAAGACATGGGAGAATTGCATCGATTCTTACTGGTTGTGTCTTGGATATGAATGCATCTGTGACTTCTCTGCATTCTTGAAGTGGCCAAATGGTTCGTCTACATCAATCATTTGATGCCCACTTTCTGTTGAATTTGCAGGGGGGTCAGAGTACCAAAGTTTTCCTTATACGAGGAAAATAGAAAGAGATCTGGGATGTATTATCAATCGGGTCATTTAAGGGTTTCTCGAGGGGCTTGTGGAAATTTCAGATTTTTTTTGTCGAAGGGCAAGTTATTAAAAATATGAGATATAAAGGCAACTCAGGCAATCTAGGGACTGAAACGGTATAAGAAACATGGACGATCGTACCGATATTGAAGCCCTTCCCGTTCATATGGCAGAGATTTTATTTTTAACATTTTCTATTAAGGTAGGGAATTTATGAGAAAAAAATGTAAAAACACTGCATACTCGAGGATTTTTACTACCAATGGATTGCTTTGGCCTGAAAACAAATTTAAAAAAGAAGAAGACCTTCATCGGAAAGGAATGATAAAATGATAACACGACGAAGGCATCGATGTGTATATATCACTTTGCATTTAGTGCTTCAATGCTTAGATTGCATTTGGATTTTATACTGTTTTTATACTGTTTTTTTCTAACTAAAGCATATTAGTGAATTTGAATAATAAAGCAACTTATTTCAGCTAGCGCAAAGTGGATGATAGGTCGCCTAGATTCTAAGGGCAACAGCTCTATACAAGAAGCCATTAGTGAAAATGTATTGAGCAGCAAAAGCTAGACGGGATGATTTTATTCAAATTGCAGTAGGCAATTGAAAGCAGAAGAACTAAGTAAACTAGTTCAAAGAGACGAAGAATGTAAAGGTAGGTATAACACCAAAGGGTGGTAAGAAATGTTATGAAGTTTGGAAACATCCATATTTGAAAGAATCATGCAAACCTTTATATTGATAAGGTAGCCATACAACAAGTCAAAACTTTATTTTATTTAGGTTTTAACATAGATGTTGACATGAAATGGAAAAGTTATGTCGCAGAACATCGAAGTCAATCTTTAGGGATATTAGCGTCCTATTAGATTAAGAGAATTTATTCCGCGTAATAATATTATTGTTGTTGTCTTCTTGACATCTTATTGAAATAACATATTTGAATTGTTAGGATTACTACAAATTCCGATTTCCTGAGTTATTCCACGCCTCTCTTTAAGAAACTTAATGTCGTCTACGTGCATAACTTCAATAACTATAATTTAAGTATTTTTACATGTTTTTGTATGATGATAAACTCTTACCCAAAGTATTCAACTAATTGCATAATTATAATAATGGAGGGAGATTTGAATATCGAGTTGATTATGGTTGTACATACATATCTAGATCTTTAATAACATGCAAGGGGCCCATTTTTTAAAGAATAATATACCTCAACACATCAAGAACACTAATTCTTTAAACTCTTTCAAACGTACATTTAAAGAGTATTTATTGCTAAATGTATTGAATATTTAGATATACAAATATTAAGTTATAACAAGTTTGAATATGGTCTTTAATTAAGAATTCTCTATGCTATATGTTTTCAATATTGTATATTTTCTGCCCTTATGATGCATATTTTGTTTTTGTATTAATGGGATCATGTTTACAAGTTATACTAAACTTGTAATGATCAAATCGCATTTATTTTAATTAAATATTGTCTTCTTTGTATATTTGCTTGTACCATATTATTGCTGTTACGTATATTTTGTCATGCTTTATACACGATTCTAAGATGGAGATATGGAAATAAATAAAATGTAACATTCTAAAGAGTTCCACGTTTTATCGACTTATTAAATCGTGATAAATCTCATAGACGTTGCTAGAGAGGGAGGGATAAGTGACATCCCAAGTCTATGATTTCTTTAGCAAATTTGTGTTTTCGAGAATACTTTCATGCCTCCGCAACCACAGAAAGTGCCAGAGGCATTATGTTTTCGGGTTGTCCGTCCGTCCATCCTTCCTGCTTTTCGTTACCGCGATAATCCGAGAGCCATTGAGCGGATTTAAACTTAGCTTGGATGAAGAGTGTATGAGCATGCAAGAATGAACTGATAGATTTAAGAAGAAATCAATGGTCACCAGGTCATAACCATGTTTGAAATTACCAGAAAATAACTCGTTCCCTAGATAACTTGAAAAGCATTCAAGCGATTCAAACCAAACTTGGATGAATTGTGTATGAGTATGCAAGGATGAATTTATTCGAATTTCGGATGTAAAAGGTCAAAGGTGTCAGGCTCTTACAAGTCTTTAAAATGCCAGGGAAAGGAAAACATGCATTCAATACAAAGGAAAACGGGCACCTATCAGATTAAAATAGAGGAACTTATCAGAATTAAAAAGGAGCACTTATTAGAAAGAAAAAGGAGCATTTATGTGAAGTAAAAAGGGTCACTCATTAGAGGTGAAAAGAATCACTTATGGAAAGGAGGAGGGGGCACTTATTATAAAGAGAAAGGGGCACTTATCTGTAGTAGAAAGGGGCACTTCCTCACATAAATAAGATTTTGGGGTACTCGAAAAAGTGGAGGGAGAGCTGCCAGTACATTCACAACACAACCTCCCTTACTTAAATACTGTTATACTCGCCTATACAGTGCGTCCCAGAAAAAAACGAAACCGAGAATTAAGAGTTAAGTCTTTTGTCAATTTTGCTTGTTGCTACGGCAGGCGGCCAGTGAAAACGAACTTTTAAAATCAAATTATGGAAATGCAAGCATCACTTTAAATATACAGAACTCTGTTATTCCTTGCTCATTTTTTCTGATTTAGGTGTCATATGAAAGGGTAAAAACTGACTTTTTAGAAATGAGCTTTTCTCTTTAAAATTCAGATACCGTCCGCCAAATGACTTTTTGGTTTCCTCTCTTCAAATTGATTTTAATCACTCATGCGTGAAATATGCATCATATAAGTTGCATTAAATGAAAGA